CAGACAAGGACTGTCAATTTCTCCTCCACATTCTGCTTCCAGCACAGTGATTGAATTACCACATTAATGAAGACCAACAGAGGCTTCAGTTACAAGTTTTACACCTTTTTTGTAAATTAACAAACAGAACAGCTGAACTGAGGTGATAAACAAGATTCAGTTTCAGTAACTATAGCGTGCCACAGGAGCTACATAATAGAATAGTCATTGACGGGATCAATCATTCAAATGAGACAATGCTCACAAAGGAAATTAGTCCTATTGTTTATTTTACTATAGATATACATGTTCTAATTGGCAACAGTGCTTTTCCAAAAACTTGGATGTCTTTTTTTTCTCCACAACTCAACCCCCTTATCTGAATATGTCCTGATTTTGCATTTCTTTTTATTTCAAACTAACAATCAAAAAAGGGTGGTCACACAATTGAGATTTACAAATGTGAAACCTTGCTTAAAAAAAAAATCTCATATTGCAGCATGCAACATCCTAACAGTGTAAAAAATAAATAAGTAAATAAATAAACAGGCACAAAATGATTTGAGGGGCAAATATCTGATGCCTCATCATCCTCTTGCCTCAAGGACACTCCAGAAATATGTCTATAGAACTTCAAATGCTGACTCTGGCCCTGTTTGGTCATCTCTATTGGCGAACATTTTTAGAATTAGGAGACTGATCCAAGATCAGCTCCGCAACGTTTCATCAGACAAACATTTTTTTTTTTGCACCCTTATCCGGCAGCATAAATCTCCTAGAATTTGCTCATTGAATTTTCATAGAAAAAAATCTAAAAAAAAAAAAAAAAAAACAAACAAAAAGTAAATGTAGCAAATTCTACCATTTATAAAATACACTGTATAATGTATTTATACATTATATATGCAAAGCATAGACAAAATATGCCTTTTAGTTCCTGTATCTGCTCTTGTATTGCACAAACGGATATCTTTTGAAAACATACAGTAGATAGAAAAGTGTCCCTGTGCTTAATTTGCGGGTGATAGAATACACATTATAATGAACCCCTATTGATCAGTATTTTGGGTATCAAGGCAAAAATATAGAATGTGGACAGAGTCATTTGGTACATTCTATGTACATGTGCTGAGGGGTTTTATGAATTAGTGTCAACATCCAGATACAACAGATTCCTTGATGCTTTTCCACCATCAGTCTGACTTTATACTGTAGGGAGTTACATTTCAGTGAATGCACTCTTATAACCTGCCATGGATATCGCGAAAGCCAGGTAGACTGTGTACGTACATGGATGTAAATAGAATTTCTAGGGATTCCAACTTAAAACAAAATTTCATTTTGAATATTTTCTAAAGCTGTCCTTGTCATTATGTGAGTTTGGGCTATTAGTGCTGTATAACTCAGCTGTGTTGCTGTACCATTATACTGTATATTTTTATGTCTATGTATTTTGGTGTCCAAATACTAAGAAACAAGTATTTTGTCCTTTCTCTCCTCCTCTGCCGAAAGTAATTGGACTAGACTCTTTGGTTTTGTAAGCAGGTTGAGAGAGATGCTAAGCACTCGACAGAAGGGGGCCTTAGATTCCCCCCCCCCCGTCTGAACGTCAAACCAAATCTGCTCTGCTTCCACCACATAGAACCCATCTGCAGTTATTAGATCAAGCAACTAACAGCAACGGCCTCTGCCTCGTCCCCTGACATAGAAGCAGCACTGCATGGCATGTTGAAGAACGTATACACGTACGCACACGCGTGAACTTGCAGGCACTCAGCAGATTGACACGCACACTTAACAGGCAAACATACAACTTTTTTTGTGTAATATATGGCTCCTCTCCTGTGCAAAAGTAATTTCACCAAAGGCAGTTCATCATAAGAATTCCAGTTGCTATTGTTTCTGTTTTTTTAGGTTCAAGACAAAAGACAAAAAAAAAAAAACAGTAGACAGATGCTATTATGACTGCTTATATGTAACGCTGGATGCTGTAGTGTACAGATCTGAGCACAGGAAGTGCCTACAGCAGTACTCACATTAACCCACTACAAATTCCACCCCACAAACTGATTTATTCTGAAGGACAGAAATTGTAGTCATTCAGTCCAGGGTGTGAAACAATGTTTCTTGTGTAAAATTGAATTAAAATAGTGGTTTCCATTTGTAAATTGAAGATAATTTCATTCATATCATAGAAAAGTCTTTCTCTATAAATGTAATGCAAGCAACCCACATGCTTTCGCTGTCCAAAAAAAAAATTCTCCATTTTTTTCTACATAATTTGATTACAGCAACTGCCCTTTACATGTGTGAAGATTTCATGATGAATGCACCTATAGAAATGCTCCAAAAATAAAACATACATAATTTACATAAACTTAAAAGAAGAAAGAAAAAGAAAGTATTTGCCTTCTCCTGTAAAGTGACCATTTTGGAGATACTTGTTTGTCTATGGACAGCGACGACATAAATGCCTGTAGATTCTCAATTTCGTAAAATACTTTTGTTTTTTCTTTTTAAGGCTCACAATATAGAAGTAAATAGGAGAATACATTTCTCTCAGGGGAAATGCTGTCATGTTGACCAGCAATAGTATTTGCCTTGTCATCCTTCTGAAAGATCTCTGGTGTTTCCCTAAGATTAAGTCGGTTAATCCAGAATGATTCCCCATTAGGTGCCTTTGTATTCCCTTTAAAACATATACCATACAGCACAAAAGTCAGAGACCATCCTTCATTTAATTTCCAGTCAAAATGGCTACCAAGTGCAAATGATTAACTCTTCAAGAGATATTTCTAAGGAGATTAGATATAAGATAATCTACCTGCATAAGTAAGGGGGAAGTCAATGTAAAACAAGTGGGGGGAAATCTGAGTTTAAAAAATGATTCAAACGAACAGAAAAAGTCTCCTAACAACTGTGCAAGACCTGGCAGACCACCAACACTGTCACTATCAGATAAACAGTATAAAGTTTTCATCTGAGAAGACAACTCAGTGCTATCAGTCTGAAAGGATGTGTAGCTGTCAAGAAGCCGTTACAGAGAAAAGGAATAATAATAAAAAAGGCCAAAAAAATCTTAGATCAATGAACTGTCCACCCCAAAGTCCAGACCTCAACATCATTGAATGTGTTTGTTATCACTTGGATCATGAGTGGCAGAAAATAACTTTTAAGACTGAACTTTGGAGATGTGAAAAAATATCCCTGTAGATTTCTGAAAAACTGAAAGCAAGACTTCCAAAAAGAATAGAAACTGTATTCTATTTAGCTGTTGAGGCTTCTGTAAAGTTTTCTGTTTTTTTCCTGATGCTGAAAAATTAATAATTTGAAATTAAAGGCCATTTTGACTGGAAATTAAATTATGATCTCTGGCTTTTGCACAGTACTGTAAACAGGCACTGTATGCTTCTCTCTTTGTGCTTCCATGTTTTAAACATGTAGGACTCTAATAGTCCTTATTAGAATTGCAAATAACATGTTCCTGTTATGATAGAACATCTAAATGCATTTATTAAATGCTTTATTGTATTTTTGTATAGTCAGGCATTGAAATGTATGCCCTTTTGTCCATGAGGGTTGCTTGTACTACACATTTGAATTGGTGGAAACGATTAAAAGTCGGGGACTAAACTGTTATTGCTCACCGCAAATTTAGTTCACTGCTATAAATGCTAACAAATATACTCATCAAGCATTGAACAGGTTTACTGTGCCTTTTGATGGTGAGGAGTCTGTTGCAGTGGTGAGGGGGGGAAACAGGACTGAAGTTTTACCAGGCACAGTTGGGGTCTATTGCTACAAAAACAGCCCTTCAACAAACCTGCTCACCTGACCTGAAAAACATACTCAAGTGGTTTAATCGCCTAATGAGTCTGAGATACAAAACAAAACAAATGTGCTGCAGTGTTTTGTAATAAAGTATAAGCCATGGAGACAGCGAGAGGTTTCCCTTAGAGATGAGGCCGACATCGTAGAAATTACTCGCTTTTAGTTTTAAATATACACCTAAATCAATGTTCTAATGTGACCTAAAAAGTAGCAAATTATTGCTGAACACAGTATGTGCAAAATAAGAATCTTTTACAGCCGTACAAAGAAAGTGGTCATTACATCTCTAAATGATGCCATTTCAACATGCAAAATAAATACTTCACAATTGAAATAAATCTACTAAAGGTGTAAATATGTAGCACGTTTGATAGTTGCAAAAGAAGCGTGTACAGTCTTTCGGTTGTCATTGATAAAGACAGATGTTATTCACAAGAGACTGTTGCTGAGGCATGTTTGATTGTCTTTCTTCTAGTCTTCATTACAGCACCCTGTAACAAGACCAGACTATTTATGATAGACTTGTTGATATAAATGGGAACATAAAAAACGAAAAAAAAAATAAAAACTGAAATCAAAATAATGTAAAACATTCCCACCTATCCTCCTCCTGCTCCCCTTCTCATCGCTAGTGACACAACCTGGACAGAGGTAATTTTCATACTTAGCTGTATCAAAAATGGTTTTAAAAATATGATAGACTGATAACATTAACAAGGCTATATACCACTATTGTCATACTCTTGCCTCTTCTACATAACGCGAAAGCTATTGTCAGAAGGAAATCACACCAATTTAAGTAAGACCTTTAATGAACTCAGACGGTCAGGCATACTTTGTAAATGTTGATAAACTGTATTTCTTTCAGTCTAACATATGATTATTACATCTGTGATATAACTGCAGTGACTGCTGCAGAATCTCGCTCATGCATATAAACTGTGAAGCAAAGTTGATGTGAGCTGTCTACGTGATTTACACTTCCCCCTTGTATATTCAAACAAAACGTGAACCACAGGAGAATTAAAAACATCAACTTGTCCTACAAAAACGTTGCAGTCTTGATGTCACATATGTCACACATGTATCAAGATTGAGTTTTGTGTGTTTGAGCTATGTTACATTCTGTAAACAAAGAAAAAAAAAAGTAATAATAAAGATTAAAGTCTGAGAACATTTCTCGCTTAACGTTACAGAAATGTCTCACGGTCTCTGTCAGGTTCAGGATAAGGTTTGCTCAGGTCACTATTCCTGGGCTCGGCTATTAGAGTTTGGAAAATTTCACTAGTAGCTCTCGTCACGCTGTCGTAAGACGGCGGCGAGGAGGTGGAGGACAGGTCCTCTGCCTCGGGTCCATAATTCTCCTTCATCAGGGAGGCTATGAGTCCTTCCTTCTCTGGTGGACTGTCGTCCACTTTGGCAGCTCCCTCTAAGTTGATCTGGCGATACAGAAACGAGGCTTGCTTCAGCTGCCTCCGCACTAGATGCCTTCTGAAGGCCCTCTGTATAACCACGGCCGAAACCTCCTCCTGCTTGCGCCGTAGTGTTGTGGTGATGGGTTCATAGGAGATTTTGGATGGGTTCGCCATCATGAACTTCTCCTCCATCTGCTGCTTAAGAGCGTCCATTTCCCCTGACTCGCCCAGCACGCGCTTGGTGAAGGCAAACAAGATGTCCAGGCAATGAATCTTGTCACCGCTCACCATGGGCAGGTCCATGGAAATCAGCTTGATTTTGTTGGGCTTGGCGATCCGCAGAGGCTCCGACAGCGTATCAGCAAAATCCGAAAGCTTGGCGTACTCAATGAACTGCGTGGCCTCAGGGTCAAACTTCTCCCAGACCTCATAGAACATCTCGAAATCATCCTCGCTTAGCGGCTCGGTGCTCTCCTCTGTGGCCACGCTGAAGTTCTCCAGGATAATGGCTATGTACATGTTCACGACTATGAGAAAGGAAATGATGATGTAAGTTACAAAGAAGGTGATGCCCACCGATGGGTTCCCACAGTTGCCCCGAGCATTTGTGCCAGTGTGTGGGATGTTGGGGTCACACTCCTCAGGTGAGTTGTTCAGAATGGGACTGAGCAGACTGTCCCAGCCAGCTGATGTCGTTATCTGGAAGAGGCAGATCATGCTGTTGCCAAACGTCTCGAAGTTGAACATGTCATCGATTCCACCTTGTTTCTTCACATAGGCAAAGTTTGCCATGCCAAAAATGGCGTAGATGAACATGACCAAGAACAGTAGGAGACCTATGTTGAACAGTGCAGGTAAAGACATCATTAAGGCAAAGAGTAACGTTCTGATTCCTTTAGCTCCCCGAATGAGGCGGAGGATGCGTCCTATTCTGGCCAGCCGGATCACTCGGAAAAGAGTGGGTGACACAAAGTATTTCTCAATGATATCCGCAAGGACAATACCTGCAAGAAGAATGAAATAAATCAGTCATTTGATAAAGGATGTGTTATAAGAAGCATATCTACAGTACTGTGTAGTCAGAGACCAGCATTTGTTTATTAATTTCCAGTCAAAATAGCCATTAAGTACAAGTTATAAATTTTTCAGGAGATACTTCTGAGCAGGTAGGATTTAAGATAATCCATTTGCATAAGGAAGGGGAAGGTCAAAGGAAAATAGGACTCCTAACAACTATGCAAGACTGGATGAATCACTAAAACTGTCACCATCGGATAAACAGAACTTAAAGCTTTCATCCTTGAGAGAAACTCAAGCTCCACTCTTGCTTCAGATCTGATTCTGAAAGGATGTGCAGCTGTCAAGAAGCTGTTACTGAGAACAGGAAAGAGGAAAAAAAGAAAAGAAAAATAGCAAATGAAACAAAGAAGCTTCTGGTGTTCTCAGAACAATGGACTGGCCATCTTGAAGTCCAGACCTCAACATCACTGAATGTGTTTGTGGTTGATTGGATTTTGTGAGAAGCAGAAAATGCAACCCACCTCTAAGACTGAAGTTTGGAGTTGTGGAAAAATATCCCTGCAAATTTCTTTGAAAAACTGAAAGCAAGTCTTCTGAAAAGAACAGAAGCTGTAAAAAAACCATTGGACACACTAAATACTGAAAAAAATATCTGTTTATTTGTTGAGGCTTTTGTGCAATTTTCTGTTAAATGTTTTTTTTTTGAAGCTTAAAAATCTTGTACTTAATGGCTGCAAATTAAATACATTAAAAGGTGGTCTGACTTTTGCACAGAACTGTATAACAGTGACATCATATAAGATTCTTCATTACTGTGAACAAATGTATGTAAATGTGTATCTGAGTTAAAAAGGTGTTTCCTCACCTGTCTGTATACATAATAGATAATTCCCAAACATATTATAAACAACTCAAACTGTCCAACTGTAGCCAAACATGTAATCACTTTTGTCAAGCAACTGATGATTTACAAGGTGCTCACGCTGTTTACCATTCCCCAAGTGTTAAACTGCGCCTTTTCTGATTTGTGATCCTCTCTCCGTAGACTAAACGTGGGTGGAGGTGTTTAGCTTGACCCACAGTACTGCCTACTTGAAATATGGTCAAGGAAGGCACTGGGCTACACAACCATACGTCAACCTTCCGGCTCCCCGGCTAACAACCGTCAGATGGCTCAAACCTCAATCACTCCCCAATCACCTGAGCTGACAGGCTTGATTGCTGCAATTACCTTCACCTTAACTGAGGCACCCCTTTTTCAGGGATGGTCACTCCATCTGCTGCTAACCCTTTGGCTTTGTTCATTCCCTCATCAGGGACATGTGGAGTATCCACTCTAAAAGCTGGCCAGGGCTTATTACTTAAGCATGGTCTGCCCTTTTCTTGTTAGATATAGTGCTGCACAATTGCATTGAAGGTAGACCTTGATAAGTCAAGCCAAGGGTATGTTGGCTTCACTGTAAATCTTCTCCATGTGGCTAATGAAGAGGTTTTCCACTCCTGGGGGATTCCTTGATTCTGCAGCTGTGTTTAGCTGCTGCAGATGACTATTATTTAATATGACCAAGCAAAATGAATTACACTATGGGCTCTATAGTGTAGCTCTGGGTGTGCAGGGACTGTTGTTTGCACTGGTATAACATACTGGTATCTTTGACTTTTCACTGTTCATTTTGGTAAATTGGTGTGCAGTACTGTAAAGTAGTGTGTGATGAGGTGAGGAAAAGGAAGGCTGTTTAAATCTGCTGCTGGAGGAGTTACTCCATGTGCACATCCCTGCTACCAACAGTAGAATCATTTTTATCAATTTCAGTGTGTAGGACTAGAGCTTTGCATGTGCTACCAGGTTTCTATCACTGTGTAAAATATGCATGAGGTTTCCTTTATTGTTGGATGTTTTTATTCCAAGCTTGTGAGCTTATTCAGAACAGAATTCAGATCAGTAAGTGCTTATTATTGGTTGGTTTAATCAGAATAACGATAAAGCACAACTGATGTTTCACTGAAATTCATATTCATGTGTTTTGTTGTTCAAAATAGTAGTTTGTGAAACAGACTCAAATAAAAAATCTCAGATTTTTCATCTTTGTTAGGTCACATTCTATATCAAATAAACTCAACAACAGCATTCAGAGTTCAGATTATTAACAGAGGAGAGAGGATAAAATGTTAGAAAGTGATTGCAGTGAGAAACCTGAGGAGCAGTTGAGCAGCTTTGGGTCAGTTGTGTTATGTTCATGCATATTTTAAGTTGAAAGACTCATCTGACTATAGATTTCTTGCCTATTTAGAGCTCATTACAGCCTATTGTCTAACAGCCCAATGAGCTTTGGGCGCTCAGTTTTCAGTTTTTTTGTTAAAAACTGTGCCACCTATATTTTTTCAGTTCTTTTTTACCTGAGATTTTCTTTTAGTTTATAACTTTATGAAGAAAGACGTTATCCCCTCATATGTTGCGTCTCTAGACTGCCTCTTTTAAATAAAGGGCTATTAAAGTACAAGAAAGATTGGCTTCATAGCCATGTCGTTATACCTCATACCTTTTACGTGTTACTTGTTCTAGTTGTTAATTGTTTTGTTCTGCTGTTTGGCCCCTTGGCTTCCTCAGTGATGAGGCTTTCTTGGTACTGCCTCAGTAAGTGAGCTATTTTCAGTGATCCTCCAGTGTTGTTAGCACAGCCACTTAAACGGTACGAGACCAGTAATATGATTGGCTGAAACATTACTAATAAAGCACCCCACCCATCTACGTTCCCCAACCGACGATTCTGCATGTAACTCGCATAGATGTGCCTGTGTAAAAACTAAGTGTGCCTTTTGGATCAGCTCTCATGGCTCTGCAGTACATAGTAGTGATTGACGTAGGTTGTTGTGATTGATGAGGACCGGGACATAGAGTTCAGCTTACTGTGCAGGAATACAACATTCGCTTTCCTATTTTATTTCTCTTTTTCATTCTCAGGCATTCCAGAACTCAGGCCAAGCCTGCTCTTACATGTAATGGATTTTTTGAAATCCTTTTAGTCTAATATAAAAGCTGTTCCAAGACTTTTATACTGAATTTAATTGGGAAAGTCAGTTCTGTACTGACCAGTAGTGACCACGTCAGTTCTATACTGACTTTCACTGAGAGTTGTACAGTCTTGCCTTGTTTACCTACCCACAATGGAAAGGATGACCACCACAAAGTCAAAGATGTTCCAGCTGATGGTGAAGAAATAGCAGCGGAGGGCGATGAGCTTGATGATGCACTCAGTGGTGAAGATGACAATGAAGGCCAGGTTGATGTTGTACAGGATGGACTCCATGCGAGGGGACTGTTCATCTGTCTCCACCATCATGGTCACCATGTTGAGGAGGATAAGCAGCATGATCATGATGTCGAAGGCTTGTTTTGACACCAAGTCAAAGAAGAATCCTTGCACTGAGTTCTGGATGGGAGAAAGACACGTCCTCACAGTTACATAAGCTTGTATCTAAGATCAGCTCCCCTCTGACTGTATTCATTAACATATTACAGGCAAACACTGAACTTAGGTCTACTTTTAGTTCTGACAACCAGATTTAGACTCAGTACATTAGCTAAAGCTGTGTGCCTTCACTGAAAATGAGATGTATTGAGAAAAATAATGTGTAAATTTGAGCTCATTTATATGCAACCTCAGTTCATACTCTGACATCATTTAATTGAGTATATAAAGTGGAGACATACGTTACACAATATATTAACAGCATTATTTTGGTCCAGATGTATCAGAATAACTCACCAAAGGCCTAGGAATAGGCTTCTGAGGTTTTTTAGATCCGAGCTTCTTCATGGCATTGTAATACTTTTTCTGTTCTTCAGTCATGAAGATGTCCTGCCCACCTAAGTATAGAAGAACTCCACTGTTATTATTGATATCTAGTGTTAAAACAGTTTCAAACTATTTATTAGTATTAATCTGTGTTCAAATCACATGTTGGACCAACATTCATGCTTGTAAGCCTTGATCAGAACAGAAACACTCTTTGTTTTTATACTTATCTTTCGTTTCTGTTGGTTGAAGTTGTCAATGATCACACCAATGAACAAGTTTAGGGTGAAGAATGACCCAAAGATGATGAAAATAACAAAATACAGGTACATATATAGGTTGATCTCCTTAACTGGCTGCTCCTCCACCTGTTGCATTAGACAGAGATAAGGCGTTTTTATGATCAACCAAGAGATTAACACTTACTAAACTATGTTTACTCTGAACTGTAATATTTTTAATTAATTGAGAAAAACAAGAAATTCCATAGTGATCCCTGGGAATTCATTTTAAAATTAACTTGCCATAAAGTATGTCTGGTTACAGCTGGAAATCAACATCCAGTGAATTGTCAGTTAATCTACCGGCTTTATATATTGCAAATATACCTTATTATGTAGTTCATAATTCAATATTTAATGTCATTTATATTGTTTATTTATCCTTTAGGTGAAATGACAATGGGATTGTACTGTATATTCATTATTCATAAATAGGATCCCCTACTATGTAAAATAATAATATTAAGAGACATAAATATTCATTAAGAAATTCTACACTTACAGCTCTTGAATCCACTGCTGCGTACATGATTTCCATCCAGCCTTTAAACGTAGCCTAAGCAGAAAAACAAACCAACTTAAGATCTTTTGACATGTGCACTTTAATCATGAAGCATGGACTACAATATGTAGACTGTTTTTTTGTGATGCAAACTGTGATGCAGATGCCATAGTCATGTCTGGCTGTTGTACTGTATCTGTGTAACTGTATTTATTAACAGACTTTATTAATATCAGGCTTGTATTACAGGACATCCCCCACAGGATCATCCTTTCTTTCAGGGCTTCACAGCTGTGAAACTGAAATCACTTATCTGTCCTAGATCCTTTTCTCAGTAATGGACAACTTAATGTCCATTATTCAATAAATTAGGTGTTGACTGTTAATCCTGATCAGTAAACAGGCCCCTGTGAATGATGGGGTGATGGACAAATATGGACATCCTTTGAATGCATATATTTTCTAAATGCAGAAGGGGAAAAATGAATAAGGGGAGCCCTCTTTCAAACCAAGCAAGTGCTTATCAGCAGAAATCACTACAGTTGGTCCTTTTTTTGCCTTGGTTATCAGTAATTATAGGCCTTTTGTGAATGGTCCAGGACTGACTATTTCTAGATGCAAATGGAAGGTTTGTATTGAGTGAAGTCAGAAGAAGGTGATGGAAAGGAGCTAAGTGACTTGTTGCTAGGCTACCGCACCAACTAAGTTAAAATGAAGAACGAAGTGCATGCACTCTCGCTGAGAACAAAATTCTGTATAATGGCCCCAGCGGCAGCTAAAAATAAAGTTCCCGCTGACTTGTTGATTGATTCGTACTCATGGACAGGCAGAGGTGGGCAGCGGAAAAAGTAGGAAACGGAAAGAAAGAAGAAAAAAAGAAAAGTTTCATACTGAGCGTGTGTGTGTGTTTTTGGGGTGTTGGTGAGGGGAGTCACACTCACCACTTGAAGCAGTGCAAGGTAGCCTGCGCCCACGTTGTCAAAGTTCACTTTTACTTTTGTCCAGTAGTACTGAGAGTCGTTCATCGCCAGGCACTCCGTCTTGTTGTTAACGTGCGAGGAGTTGTAGATGAAGCCTGTGCGGTTGATGCAGCGGCCGAATTTTCCGGCGAACAGGTTCACTCCCATGATGCTGAAGATGAGCCAGAAGATGAGACAGACGAGCAGGACGTTCATGATGGAGGGGATGGCCCCGATCAGAGCGTTCACCACCACCTGGTTCCCATGGATACAAACAGCTGTCAGAGACTTCAGACATTCACTGGGACCCGTTTATTCTCTTGTTTTAATATCTACATATTTACAGATGACTCAAGATATTTAATTCTAATTCTACCCGCCGTTTCTAAATACCAACATAAAGATGAAATGAAGAATGTAAAATAACACTGATAGTCATATGCATCCATATTTGGAAAAACCAAAGTCTAACAAACCAAAGGACCAAAATAAAAGCTTTCAGCACGGCACAGTGAAAGAAATGAGTTTTTTTAAGCCTTTGTGAACAGATATATAGGACCATCTTAATAGCACTTTGGTAATACTGGCTGTTAGGTAGGTGGCATTATGGAATAACAACAGGAGAGCGACAGAACATCACCGCACAAAGTGAGCAGAGAAATCTGGCAAATATAGATTCATTTATTATTAGAGTCTGACAGCAGCAGTGCTGGAGGCCATTCTTAGAAGAGTACCTTAATTCTAAGAGCCTTGAGATATACGACGTCTTAGAGGTTTTATTTTGAATCAGAATAAATAAGCTCTCGGTTTAACGTGAACAATGAAAGCTGCTAAAAGTGCAGAGGTTGGCTGTTGATGTCTCATTTTCAAAGAGCCTCAGCGATACAAGTTTGGCCAAATTGTCAGATGAAGAAAAGTGTCACAAAGGGATCTGCCACCCAGCTGATCTTCTGAGAATGAGACTGCACTTTCTTTACCCATGTAAAGAAAGCAATGTGCCTCTGGCAGCAGCTGTTAAAGCGCTGTGACGTCTAATCGTATTTGCCAGATTTACAGCGGTGGAGGGGGAATTCCGTGTGCCTCGGCCTCACTGTTACACAGCATGCAAATCTAATGCACTAGAATTCAATTTTCTCCTCAGTCTGTGGGTTGTCAACAGACACGGGTTACATATTGCTGATTATCGTTGATTTAAGGCTGAATAAACAGAAGCTGGATCAGGATCAGCCCCATGTTATTTAGATTTAAAGGACAAACCGAGGCAGCATTGCATTTTTGTAAACAGGTATAAAGAAATGGATGAATAGCTAATACAGGCTATATGACTGATGAAGGAAAATAAAGGGAAAAGGACTTCAGTATACAAAATGCCTTTGTTTGACACTCAATTACTAGAATACTGATGGCACCTCACGCCATATATAAACTACTTTTAGGCAATCGTTTATCATATCGTGCTTTTTTTCCCTTTGACTGTTTAATGTCCTGACCCCCAGTTATGTTATAAAAGGTTAACATGACATCACAACTGCTTTTTAATACTGGCAGGAAATGAAGAAAAAAAGTAATTAACAATATTAATGTTTTATAAAAAGCTAATACAGGTGAAGTTCACAGTGAAATCACTTCAAATGCTCTGTATCCTAGAGCTCATATCAGAATGCTGCATATGAGACATTTTTATGAGCAATGGACAGTATGAAATTATGCAGTAATATACATGATAATATCATAATACAGTAATTATGAAATGTAATACTGGCAAGATGTTTCAGTTCCGTCTGGAGAACTCCCTTTAATATATGAAATATGAAATATGTAGTAGTGCCAGATTAGTCAGACTGTGGATTAAATAGATGAAGCATGATTAAAACCTAAAAGAACAGTGGAAATTACATGCAGAGGGTACAGGCTTTTAAATCAAAGTACTGCTGATTGTACTGCAGTTCAGTCCAAAGGAGAGTTTGCAAGACATGTACTGGGAATGTGGTGAATAAACAAGTTTTTTAATATGACAATGCAATTCGCTGGAGGAATGGGAGAAAAGATGGCTTGAGGGTTGAAGTGTGCTTAACTGTGAGTAGATTATCCGAATAATATGAATTGAGCTAATTGAATAAACGGAATCAAAGCTTATAAACTTCAAGCAATAACTTAGGCAGGTCTGATTGTATCTCAGCTTAATGAGATGAATTAAAATTTGGAGCCTTTACAAAAATGCACTGAACCCTTGTTCTTCACTGAAAGTGAGAAAATGGCTTCACACGACGGAGTGGCAGAGAGAGACAGACAGACAGACAGAGAGAGGAGAAACTCTTACCCTCATGCCTTCAAATCTGGATAGAGCTCTTAGAGGCCTGAGAGCCCTGAGGGTCCTAAGTGTTTTGATGGCAGCGAAGTCAGAGTAGCCTAGTGTGTTGGCTACGAGGCTTACTAAAGACACCTAAAAGGGGGACAGAGAGTGGAGGAGACAGAAAAGATAGAGACGCAGTGTTAGCAAGCTGACAATACCTGCCAGGCAAAGGGCTTGAGCACTTCCTGTGAAAGTAAAAGGGGAGGCCTCCCTCACTCAGGCCTCAGTCTTGCTGGAGTGGGAAAAAAAGGTAGCTTGGTTAAAAATACGGAAGCGGGTCAATAATTTAGTTTGATTGAGGTTGATTCTGTTCTGTTCGCTGATTCCTTTCCCAAAGTACGATCAGTCCTGCAGAAAGAGTAAGTCATAAATGTTGAAGAGCCATGGAGAAACCAAGCGGGCTCCGGGTGAACCTGGAGAATGAAAATGTTTATTCAGTGGCTGGATAATCACTTATCGGCTGAAGTCCTTACTAACAGTGGCCACTAGTGGGATATCTCGGTCAGAGCGGTCCTTACCCTCATGCCAGCAAAGCGAGAAACGGCCCGTAGTGGCCTCAGTGCCCGGAGGGTCCTTAGGACTCGCACGGTGCCAATTTGGTCATAACTGAGGGCACGCGCCAACATGCCAATCAGTGAAATCTGTGTGAATTGAATTATAGTTTGTTCAGTTAATGTCAAGATTACTGTTTCCCTCTCAAGATGTTCGTGAAATCTTATACTGCAGTATTTAATCAGCTAGACTTTGTAAATAATAAAAAAAACACATGTCTATCTATAATTGTCATCACCAACTTTTCTCAATCTAAGATACAGGGAACCTCTGTTTTCACCTTTCAAGATTAAACCAAGCCATAAAAGTAAGGAGAGCACTTGTGGTTTGTCGCATTGTGTTAATGAATTTTATTAAGATAAGGGCAGCAGGTCTTTGAGCCCATAGGGAACAATCACTAAAACTGCTTAGATTATATTCATAATGATTTGTGAACAGTACAGGCAGCCTGCTTTGGGACTGAGGGAGTAAAACCTCAAGTTATCTCTTCACCATAGAGACTTATGCAATAAGCACTGGAGAGGCATGTAGTCTCATGCATAATATTTGTGGAGACATTAAAACATTGTTGAGAGCTATCAAACAATTAAACCCATCACTTTGTGTTCATATATCTTAAACTAACAACTCAGACTTTGTTGTTGCTACTACTATTATTATTATTATTATTATTATTATTATTATTATTATTGTCTCCATCGCTTACTGTTATCTGCACTAGTGAACTTTGCTGTCAGTGCTTGGTGGTGGTGACAACAACTGATTCCAGTATATTGCTCTAATTGTTTTTTTTAGCAGCTTTAATAAGAATGACCTTTTTAATTTACAACATTATGCACTATAAATGAAATAAAACATAGAAAACCTCAGTGCAAGAGCATTTCATATATCTAAACACTGGCACTTTGTGACTAGGCACGATTGTTATATCAGTATATTCATATGCATGTACAGTACAGTGCAAAGTCAGAGACCACCCTTTATTTGATTTCTAGGCAAAATAGTCATTATGTACAAATTATTAGTTTTTCAGGAGGTATTTCTGAGGAGATAAGAAGAAGAAAGTCGAGGGGAAAAAAAGTGGAAAAACTGGACTTTCGAAAACTGAAGTTCAAAAAGTGATTAAAAGATTCAGGGGCTCCTAACAACTGTGCACCAAAACGATCATCAACCATCAGATAAACAGTACACACTTAAAAAAGATGATTCTTATAGGGTTCTTTAGTAAGGGCAATGGCGCTATTTAGAACCATTTGCATGCTTCAGTTGTTCTTTGCATAGTTGATGGAGAATGTGTTGTATATGGTTCTATATGGAAGCTTTCTGAAAATGGTTCCATATAGTACCAAAAAGAGTTCTTCTATTGTTATGATGTTCAGCTTACAACAATAGAAGGACCCTTTTTGGTGCTATATAGAACCATTTTGAAAATGGTTCTTTATAGACTCATATATATATATATATATATATATATATATATATATATATATATATATAGTGCTGTGTAAAAGTATTTGCCCCTAATTTGTCACATTTAAATGTTTCGGGTCATCCAGTTAATTTTAGTATAAGATAATGACAACATGAGTCAACATAAAATGCAGTTTTTAAATGATAATTTATTGTAGACAAAGATTTATTCAAAACTTGTATCACCCATGTGAAAAAGTAATTGCACCCCTAAACCTAATAACTAGTTGTGCCACCCTTGACAATAATAACTGTATTAGAATCTCTTTAGGATATGGCATCATGGGCTGTTTTTTAAGACCTTCCAGCCTGCTTCACATTGCCAGACAGGTTTTATTACAGTGATGTTTAGATTCAACAGACCTGTCAGTAATCATGGCTGGGTGTGGCTAATGAAACTGAACCCAATAGTCAATTGAATTTGGTTAGCTTGTTGATTTAGTAGCTAAGGGAGCAAATACTTTTTCACACAGGATCAGGCAGGGCTGAACACCATGTTCCCCTAGGTAGTTTGAAACACTCAAGTGTGACAAATATGCAAAAAGAAATTGGGAAGGGGCAAATACTTTATATCCACAGCACTGTACAACAAATTCTCCATCAATCTGAAAAATAATTTTACCATGCGAAGAACCAAAGCATGCAAATGGTTCTATACAGAACCTTTGTCTTTACTAAAGATCCTTTAAAGAACCAAATTTGAGAGAGAGGAGAAAATCAGGCTCCACTCTTACTTAAGATCTGAAAAAATCCACAGGTGTGTCTGTCCATTCTTCCACTGTGAGAAGACAACCCAACACTAGGATGTGTAGCTGTCAGGAAGCCCTCACTGAGAAAAGCATATAGACGAAAAAAGAAGAAAATCTGCAAATCAATCAAAAAAACTGCTGGTGTTCTTAGGTCTGTGGACAGATCACCCCAGAGTCCAGACCTCAACATCACTGAATGTGTCTGTAATTACTTGGATTGTGAGAAGCAGAAAATGCAACCAACTTCTAAGACTGAACTTTGGAAAACTATCCCTGCACACTTCTTTGAAAAACTGAAAGCAACTCTCCTAAAAAAATGGAAGCTGTAATAAAGGATGGACACACTAAACACTGCAAAATTTTATATTTAGTTGTTGAGGCTTTTGAGTAATGTTCTGTTAAAAATATCTTTTCCTAGTACTGAAAAACAAATAACCATTTTGATTGGAAATGAAATAAATGAAGTGATCACTTTTCACAGTACTGTATAACATACTATCTAAAGTAGTTTCTCTTATATTCTGAGACAGCGTAGCATTGGTTTTCCAAGACACACAACATACTTTGTGAACTGAATTCTGTATATACCTTCATGCTCGCAAACAAACTGATTTGCACCATTATTTCTTCATATCTAAAAAATGTCATCAACATTCTTTGAATAATATGATTTAGCCATAACATTGCAAACAGTATCGATAGGTAAGGAGGAAATGAAATTTCACTTACATCAACGATTAGAAAGTCTAGCCAGCACCAGTAGTTGGTGAAGTACTTCTTAAAGCCGTAAGCAATCCACTTCAGTATCATTTCCAAGATGAAGATGTAGGTGAAAATCTTGTCCGCATACTCAAGCACAATTTTGATCACTTTTCTTTGTTCAATGTAAATGTCTTCAAAAGCCTGTCAACAGAGTAGAAGGGACAGAGTGGAGGGTGAGGTCAGGAGGTAACAGTGAGAGTGCATGTGTGAACCATGACAATAACATATATTGTTTCACAATCTCATGCTAACCTGTTTGACTGTATATTGGCTAAGGTGACTGCCTGTGTTAAGCTAAATATACATGCTCCATATCCCATGACTCCATGTTCAGCCCGATGCATTCTGCCTTGATAGGCACAAACAGAGAGGCGAGAAGGAGCCCGCAGTGGCCAGCACACAGCTGAGTCTCCAATGCCTTCCACACACCCGAGGCTCTGCGCCAAACCCCCTGCTAATTATCATCACTGTGTAGAGGGGCCTGATCAACCATTGACCTGGCTCTTCTCTAGAGTGGCCCTTTCTAATGCAGGGCTACCCACAGTGAGCTTCAGCATTTAGAGCACCCTCACACTACAGTATGTTTCTAAGCTGCTAATGTGAGACCTTGCATGCACTAATGCACAGTACAGTTTATATATGGAGTCATTAAGAAAGTCAGCGCTAAGCATCTGTGGCCATTTGCCTCTCCATTGCTTTCAGCCGACTTGGCTGTTTTTGGTTCTTTTTTTTTTCCTTCACTATTTTTTTCGCTTACTTCTGCTTTTCACGTGTGATCATTCAACTCCATGTCTGAAAGAGCAGCTGTTTGCTGAGGAGGTGTTGGTAAATGCCACCAAAATACCAGCCAGTCTAGTTCACACCTGGCATCCAGGCCTTCCGACAGACCAGTGACATTAGCCTCTCTTTGTGAGTCACTCAACAACAAAAGGCTCTCCTGTGCTGTTAAGAAGGCTCTATACAGTAAGAAAGTTAAAGGTTTTGAAGCATTACACAGTAGCCGTGAACTTTTTCGCTCTGACATTTGTTGACTCCTTCGCGGAGCACTCCTTAAAAGGGCCACAGTTGGTAGTAAAATACTGAATGTTCGTGGGTTGTATAGATCAGTCGGCTCCTGGCAGCGCTTTCAACGCTCGGCCTTTGTTTCACTGCAGAATCCTCTCTCCCACCATCTCCAGAATTCCTAAAATCTCCTGTGGCAAATCGATCACTTCTGGCAACGTAGAGGAAAAAGCCGGTTTGCAAAAAAAGTATAACTATGGAGGAGATTATTTTGCAGCATCTCTAGGGGCCTGCAGCATCTGTTAAAAGTGATTAATGTCAGCTGAAAGCTGTGCTTTTGTTGCCCTGCCACAGCTCTCCCATGGAGACGCCTGGTCCTGGAAGTTGACCAGCCAGCAGGCAGTCTGGCACCCCTAGCCAGCAAAACATAGAGCCTGCTGACTGTGCCCTTGTAAACTGTTCCAGGGTCAGCCTGATTATGTATTTTGTAGTCACTGAGATTGGGGCAATTCAGCAGGGAATAGCATTCATTGAGCCAGTATGAGTGCAGGATAGACCTTCCTATTTCTGCTCTCCCCTGAAGACCTACCAACTACACAATACCAAATGGGAAGAATAATTCTGTAAACAGATTTTTTTCTGACTGGTATTTGGGTGTAAACATTACAGCAGTTGGGTTTAATATTTGGGTCTGGCTTAGACGCAAGGCTGAGAATAACCCTTAGAACTGTAGAGATGCGCAGTGATATCGTAATAAAATCATTAAAAATGTCTGCATACATTGTGGACACATGTTGTATACATGACATATTTAATGTACTCTAGAAGAGCAGAATGTTTAGGTGATGGGCTACTGTGCTAAAATATCTGCATTTTAATCAGTTTACTGCGTTTGTTATGCAGGGCAAATATGTGTACATTTATATGTAATCCTAATCCAAGTGGATTTAGTCCCAATTTCTACATATAGTAAACGTTTACAAATCCACATCTGTATCAGCATCGGCAAATATGTGCATGAAAAATATTGGCATCGGCCTGCAATTCCCATATCTGTTCATCCCTAAAAACATGGTTTCATTTTAGAATTAATTCTCACTCATAACTCACTGAAGCACGCAAACTTCTAAGAAATACACAGATATAAGATATAAGAGCATATGATTTTTTTTCTTTCTACAAAACAAAGCATTCTTCATATTTTTGCTGCTTTTGTCATTGACTGGATTGAGAAGAATGCAAAAAACGTCAGAAATGCAAATTCAGATTCATTGTGTAATATGTAATTGCGTAATCATTGTTTAGGTTGTTAAATTTAGGGTAACATCTGATTTCTTGTGTTGGTGGAGTTTTGCGTTTGCGATGCTCACCAGAGCACCACTGCTGAGCAGGATCATAAAGATGATGAAGGTTTCGAACCAGCTGTGCTCCACTATCTGAAAGCAGGTCTTCCTCAGCCGCCACCATACCTTGCCCAGCCCCTCATTAGTGTTGATTTCGCAGCACTGGAAATGTCGGACGCACACTAACAAAAGAGAGAAAAAGGAGAAAACACAACATCAGCCCACTAAAAATCATGTCAACACTTCAGCGTTTGAAACAAAGGATTTCCTGCGTGTGAAAACCAGAGAAGCAATACACTGTGAAGCGAGCATCGCTGAGCCGAGCTGTACAAGCGTTTGGGCTCAGACAAAGGTGCATGTCTTCAGCAATTACGCAGACTCGGCCACTGAGACATGACTGTTACGCGACATGATCCCAAGCAGCATCAATGACTCTTTAAAAGCCTTCCATCTATAACAATAGGTCCCTGCCATGAAATCACATTTGAGCCTCCCATGGGCGTCAAAGCAGCTCCATTACCGGTATTCGAGCTTCTCCAAATTAACTTATTGCCTGTAAATTTAATAACGGGATTATGGTAACAGGGTCCTCTCAACTCAATTTGTACTGACGCTCCAGCTCTCTATTGGAAGCCTTAGACATTTTAGCACCCCGGCATCATCATTTGTCAAACAATTAACAGCCATCAAAGCAAAATCAAGAAGCCCAAGGATTACAGCCAAGCCTCAGAGTTACAGCGGAGTCTATATATCCCAGGAAGCTACTTTGCATTAACACAGGCACTGATCTGATTTGGCAGTGAACATACCAAGAACACAGACTGCCTTAAGAGCATGTCTCAGCACTTATGCGGCGCTATTTATAAACGTTACACTGAGCATGCTTTCTGTTCTGTTTTTTTTTTCTGTTCAAAAACATGAACTAATGTGAGGCTTGGAGAGATGCACAATATGTTGAATTGGGAGAGGACCAACAAACGTCTCATCACTACACCATGTTTTTTTAATCCTTTGAACCTGATGGTTCGATTAATTACATTTCAAAATAATTACAACTAATGATACATGACGGCATCGGAATCATATCGTTATCAACAAATGAATGCTTTAAAAAATATGTCCGATGTTTAGATTTGACCGATATTTTAAACTGATGAATTTATTGCATCTGGGATAAAGACAACATTCAGGCGACGCTGGGATACTGCACTAAAATATCTGCCATTTATTCATTTTACTGCATTTGTAGCTCTGTAGAAGGAAATATGTTTCTCTGTGATGCAAAGACATGCAGCCCCAATATCTACATTTTTTACATTATTCCCAGGTGTATGCAAAAGTTTGGGCGCCCCGTCATGTAACGTTTTGTTGATTTCCTGAGTACACATCCTCTACAGAGAGCATATTTCTACACATTTTTCATGCACAATAACAGTTTATTTGATGAATATAACATATTGGGAATAAAATAAATAGAAATTGTGCACTAAAATTTTGCAAAAATATTACACATTTAAGTTTAAGAGGATGAGTTAACTTATTTTCACTTAGAAAATCAATAAAACGTAATTTGACCGGGAGGCCATCGGCAGATGGAAAAATATTGTCTAACCATCTCACGATTTCCATATTGTGCATCCCTAATTACAACTTACATATTAGTTTAATAGAAGTTACTGGAAAATAAGCCTTACTATTAATAACTAAAGTCTAGAGTTTAAAGCCAGTTTAAAAAATGCCCACAGACTGCTTTAAATGACACATTTCTCGTTATAATGCTCCACTCTGTTGTTACTGGAAGGGGTGATCCACCTTGTCATTTGAGATCTGCAGATTAAAGTACATGGCAGCATATTTGAACGGTATGACTCCGTCCCTTTCTTCCAAATGGTTTAATGCATGTACAGGCCGTTTGAACCTTTTTAAAGCAAATGCTTTCTCCCTACCTCTTTCTACCAAATCTTAGTCACTTCTTATCCTGAGAACTGTGGACTTAGCAGAACTATTACACAGAACGAATCTTTACTAAAGACGCTAAGGATAATTAGCAAAGCAACATTTGGCTGTTTTTTGAATTCAAATCAAACTCAATCTTAGCACATCTATTGAAAATATTTAATACATAAAGTGTCTAAAAGCAAATATCCATTGAACTACATTGATTGACTACACTGACAGACCATGGGATTAAACTCTGTGTAAACAGCTGTGCCACAACATCCTATTGGTCTTTCACAATAACATGAAATTAAACTATTGCTGAACAGTTGGGTTGCAATTTATTGTATGGTAAACTTTTTTTTTCATCAGCTGGTCTTGGAATCAGTTATAAGCTCCAATAACAATGTGTTGTAATAACTGTCAGTTTCAAGCTATATAGGCTTTATATATTTTTTAATTGTGCTTTATATAGATAACTACAACATTCTGAACAAAAAAAAGATAGCAGTGTTTGCATGAGCACCTGACTAAAGATATAAAGAGATGTGAACATTGAGATAAACCCTTTTCACTGTAATCTGCTCCTCATTGATTTATACACTAAAACAACCCCAGCAGCCATCTTAAAGGATGCTACGACAGCTGATTTGCTCATCATGTTTGAGTACATTGGATATGATTGGTGCATCAATGAATATTGAGCATCAGTCATCATCAGATTAGAGGCTTGTTTCATTCCTGACAGGCATTTTCAGATCTTTGCTGACACAGGACACTCAATTTAATGCCCCATTACTCTTTTAAATGTCAGTTAATTGTTTAATGTGTTATATTAAACAGCCTCTACTTGACAACAGCATGAGCAGTCTGATGATGTGTCCCTTCTACCATGTATGATCTTCAACTGCCATTGGCATTTCTTTCAACATATATGAATATACCCTGCATAGTTCACCTCAAGTAATGGACTTCTAATTGAACTCAGCTGAGCAAACTCTAACAATTCTGCTGAGACTAGGTCTGTGATGATATGAACTTTTCACTGTATAATTGCTCTTCACATTGTGTGAACAATTCATGACCAATAAAAATGGTCCAAAATTACTTTGAATTTTTTTCCTGTTCTGACAGCAAACACACACATATTTCTTAAGAATGCAATCGATTATAGCACTGCTAATTTTTAAAAAATGTACTTTGGTAATTTGACCCTTCAAACCATCAGTAGTAGTGCAGGCAGAAGCCTAACTTCACATTGCTATGATAGAAATCTGCGACTGCAGCCCTCTGCTTTTAAACAGGTTTTGACTACTGTTGTTCTCAGTGGACATCAGTAATGAAAAGTGGAAACTGTGTTTGGTCAATAGAAATCACATGATTTTTTATGTTGAGGTGCATGTGAACCCTGCGTTTACATGATGAAAGTAATGACTTTAGATTATGGAAAGTAATACATACATTCAATGAGGCTTATTTTATCCACTCATACAGCCATAACAAAATATATAGACCTCAAGTGTTATAAGTGTTGCAACTGATCAATGATGATTCACTTAATGAGCAATCTAAATTTTAATGAAATGAACAGTTTCATGAAGGCAGATGTTTCAGCGAACACCTTAAACTTCCAATACAAAAAACACTGTCCGCAAGTGTTTCTGTCACTATACAATATACCCACCATCAGGAAAGCAATTGTCGGGATCCATGTCCTCCTCGGCCATCTCCGAGTATTCATCTTCCTCTTCTCCAGTCTTCCTCAGGTCAACTGTGCTGCCCTCTGATAGGCTGATGTCATCACTCTGAAAGCCAAGAGAACCAATCAGTCTACTGATTGCTTCCGTAGCACTTCTAAATGACAGCTCTTACATGACAATTCTGCTGAGAGGCAAAAATACAGCAATGATGTCTAACAAGCTGAGTTTATTCCCTTTATTTTACACAGACCAAAGTGAAGAGCTGAACATTCCACTGTGTCCTTTGCAAGGAGTTTTGCTAATAAGTGAGAAGTCCATTTGAGGTCTAGAGTACACTACCCAGCAACACTTGATTTAAACTCAAGGGTTACACAGTCCCAGTGAAGGCTTAAAATAATAGGGCCTATACCTGACCTTCTGTCTACATGACCTTTTGTTACCACAGTGCTGTGGAAAAGCACTTGTCCTTTCTCTGATATTTGGCTCCAAGGTTTTGTGCTTCTATCATTTGTTTGGTGTGTAAGATGATTACATGTTCCATCGTCAAGTGTGAAAAAGTAATTGATCCTTCAGATGAACACAACCCAATTATAGGCATAATTAGGGTGAGCTGCTGGGATACTTAGGTAAACAGTCATCCAGATCAGCCCCGGCCAGTATAAATGCATTTATCATCTATGGCAAACTGGCAGAGTAAATAGCAAGATCTAGACATTTCTACGCACATCAACAAAAATATTTACATGCCTTTAAGTTTAAAAAGGGTTAAAGTGGTGTCTAAAACTCTAAGAGCTCTGCAGTTCGAAATACAACAGTCAGAGGCCTTGCATCACATGGGGGGCATGGCCAGGCTTAGCTGTGAAAGCGAGACCCAATATCCTAACAGAGTAGAGTGTCTTCTATCCAAAGTCAAGCACAAATAAAAAGTTAGTATATATTAAAACAAAAGTTGCTGCATCAGTGCCGTTGTCATTGTGGTCATTGGATTACTTAAAATGCTATTTTTAAAATTGCTTTAAATAGGTTATATTAAACGTCAAAGCAAATGTCTATATCATTGCATCAAGTAATCAAAGGAAAGATATAAATGGTCCATAAACATTTTTCAGTTTAGGATGCTTGGCTGTTCAGATTCTTTAAGTTTGCTCCTGCTGTTTGTACTCAAATTTACCATGTAACTTACATCTCAGATCTCTGATTTTTGCTCGGTTATGTGGTCTTCGCTAGGGTATAAGTTGCGCCTGTCATGAGCAGACATTATTGTATTGTAGATCTGGATTAGGTAGGATGATAACTGCACTGCTGTCAGTAATAGGCTATAGCCTGATATCAGTATGTTGTGGGATGTTTGGAAATGCCCGCAAACAACAAATAGCCCATCCTACAAAGTTAGTCTGGTGCCAGAGCTGAACAATTAGAGTCATGTATAGTTCCAAACAAGAAATACTGGGACAGTAGTGTGTCTTCTCAAAATTTCTCCAAAATTGTCTCCAAATAAAAAAAAAACATTTATGACATAATAAAAACCCCTAAATGACATTAAAGGAATCAGTAAGATTGACTCAAGTACCTACACACTTAAAAAAGATGGTTCTTCAAGAGTTTCTTAGTATAGAAAATGGTTCTATGTGGAATCATGAACATTCATAGAATGTCTATAGGGTTCTTTGCATTGTAAAAGGGTTTTTCAGAGTGATGGAGAATGTGTTGTATATTACAAACTTGACATCGTAACAATAGAAGAACCCTTTTCAAAAAGGTTCTACATAGAACCATCTACAGCACATTCTCCGTCAATCTGAAGAACACTTTCATGGTGCAAAGAACCCTTTAATCATGCAAAGGGATCTTTTGAGTTCTATATAGAACTATTTTCTTTACTAAAGAGCCCTTGAGGGTCCATCTTTTTAAGTGTGCAGGATCAAACAATAAGAAAATAAATAAGAATAAATGTAAAATATATCTATATTTTAAATATTAAAATCCCTTTTATCTAGTCTTGTGTAAATGATCTGATAACATTCCGAGGTTGGGGCAAATGCTTTTACAGATCACTAATGCTATTTAGACTCATACAATGTAAGACAGTCACATAATAAGCCTTCATCATTCTAAAAATATTAGAAAAGATTACATTAATTTACAGCTGAGGAGAGTAATTGCTGTATGAACTCTTTGCCAACATAGCCATTCTGACTAATTCTGCTGAAGCTGGTCTGGTTTCAAAGACTGCATGGCTGCACAGGGCACTAAATTTGCCACATACGAACATGACTTTGTAAGCACAGCGGCTGCCTTTTTTCTGAGCACTTGCAGTGTTGACATTTCACACAGAGCCTAGGGGTAGCACTCATGGCTGATATTTATTTGGGATGGGGGTTAGCACATGTCCAGGTGCACCTTTGGGACCTCTGTGGGTCCTAATCAAGCATCGATTCTGCCTCATCGTCATACCCCTGCCTGCTTGAACGACTGGAATTCGCATGCTAAATGGAGGCGAAAGCTGTTCGGGCTGTAGTGTGGCAGTGCGGGACTGCTGACGTGAATGTCTGATGAAACCAATACACCCCTTGCCTTCCTTTGTTTGTGAGACCCTTAGGGTGACAGTTCTGCCCCCTGGCTTCCCTGGCACAATAAAAAGCTGACACCATGACAGCATGACTAACCAGTGCCATGCTGCACACGGGATATAGCTTGTGATGGTAGACGAAAGAAAGCTATTATGAGCTGTACATATTGTTGAATTTCCTGTTATATCAACTTACATTAAGGGCTGATCTCTTAGACAGTTTAATTGTGGTCTAAATCTACATAAGCATCTTCAAAACTGCAGTTTAGCCACAGACTAGGCTTCGTCCATGACCGAGAAACTGGCCCCATGAGTTAAAAATATTTTTCTTTCCGTTTCTTTACATTTTGAAATTTTATGCCGTTTGCATAACTTTATAATGAAATGCACAGAAAACTGACATATGCAGCTGCAGACAAATCCAGAAGAACAAATTATTTTGCTGCACATTTAGCTCATCTGCGGTGCTCAGCTCTTCGCAAGGCAGTCGCTGATGAGAAAAGATGATGTAGGTTTGGGGAGAGAACAGAAAGAGAAAGAACAAAGAGAGGAGGGGACTTGGCAGTTGTGGAAATGATGTGCATCACTCCTGACATGAGGCTGCTGTGTCTCGGCTTCGCATTAAAGCAGAGGGAAATGTGGCGTGGCAGTGCCTCGGCACTGTGGAGGAGGTGAGAATAGGCCTGAATCTGCACCGACCAAGCAGGGCCGGAAATGAAGTAGGGTCACAGCAGTGCAAGATCGGAAGAATAACCCAGACGTGTTAAATTTTAGCTCCTTTGTGTCTCTAGAAATCATCCATATAAATGGAAGAGAGGGCTGCACAATATATCATGTTATTCATTATCGCAATAGTGGTCTTTGCAATATATTTGATGTGTGCTATGAGCAGCATGACCAGTATTCACGCTGGTGTTTTGATGAAGCGTGATAGTCAGTCATCCAACAAACGTAAATAATTCTGGACAGATTATGCAGGCTAGTCTTATGACTATTTTCAATTAATGATTCACCAAAATAGTTTTAATATTGTTGCTGTCACATCAAAACCTTCTAACTCCTTTTTTTATTTTTTAGTATTTTATACAGCATTTGAAATGGAAGTTGCTCTTTACATTGTGTGAACATTTTATGATGAATGACCCAGTAAAAAGTCTAACATTACTTGGAATAATAAAAAAAAACTTTTTTTCTTGCTCCTATGTTTTACTACAACACTGATGATAAATAGTCAAGTGCAAAAGGATGTGTAGTTATCAAGAAGCTGTTCTTGAGGAAAAAAGAAGGGAATTTGCACTAAAACAGGGAAACTGGACATCTTAAATGTGGAGTAAGGTTTTATGGACTGATGAGTCCAAATTTGTAACTGGTATCCTGAGAAGCAGAAGGTGCAACCAAGACCAATTTCAACCAATTTCAAGACTGAAATTGTGAGGTGTGAAAAATAACCCTGCAGATTTCTTTGAAAAACTACATGGAAGTTTATAGAAAAGAATGAAGCTTTAAAAATCACTTAATGGCCGTTTTGAATTGAAGTTTGGTCTCTGACTTTTGCAGCAATGCATATTTTCAGTATGCAGCTATATAATCACAGTATACGGTTTTGTCCATATTGTGTAGCCCAAATTTGATGTAAAAAGCAATGAAGGTATTTTTTATACTATAAGTGCTTCTTAGAATCATCTTGAACTGGACGTATCCAATCAACCACTTCCAAAGAAAGTCTAAGACAACTGCTGAAAAATCTCCAGCAGTCAGGTATCCTAAGCATGCAACACATGAAAACAATCTCTGACTGCAATCTCTGTGTACTCTGTCATCCTCCGTACAGTAATCAGGCAATCAAGTAATCATCTCTCTGTTCTTTCACCATTTCTAAATTCTTCACCATTCTAGGATAGCAAGCTGTGCCTTCCTCTGTATCTTTGATCAGGGAGCACAAAACTACACGCTGGGCATCACTCCACCTCCAAACTGAGAGGAGCTGAGACTTCACACCATCTCGTGATGCACTTACCTGTCCACTCAGGCCGCAGGCATACTCCTCGAACAATAAACAGAGCCAACCAAGCCAACCTTTACTCCAATTACATGCACACACATATTGGAGGCTTTGGGGATCAGGTTTTCCAACTGGCTCACTAGATGCAAAGAGATAAATGAAAACTCTCCCACTGTATGATTTAATGTGATTGAATTGTAATAGAACACGGTTTCAGAGTGCACTCAATAGAGTAGGAATAATACAGTACAGGGCACCTGAAGATATCAGTGCTCATCGTACATAAGGGCTTTCAGGTAGTCGTTAGTGTAGGTCAGCATGAGAGAAGTCAATGACGCTAGGCTTACCTCATCCTTATATCAGGGCTGTGACAGCCTGTTAGCGTATAGACCAGCTCGTACGCATACAGCCCTTACTCACATCCGAGAGCAGCCTCCAGTTTATAGCCCATTCTCTTTGGCAGGACATGCATGCGTGGAATCCCAATGTTGAGCGTGGTAGAGTTGCACATTCCAGCACCACTGACCACCACAA